CTAGAAACAGCTCTAGAATATGACCCAATATGGGCTAGTTAAAGAAAAGCACAGCTACTTCCTAACAGATAAGGTTTCCAACATGCATACCTGGAAAGGGCCAAAGGCCCAAAATGGGAGTCCCAGATTTGTAAACAGCACAGGATACGTCAAATGGCAAAAGCCCCGGAAGCCCAGAACTGAAGCACAAGCAAAGGCATCATAGTGCAGGCCTCTGTCAGCTCTTTTAAGCACAGAAGAACTGGGTCAGTGATAGGTGAGGGAAAATCTGAATCCTCTGTTGACTGGGAAGAGTATTATCCCCTGCCCTCACTTCCTCTTTCCCCATTCCTGACCTCCCCAAACCTGCAACCCCAGAGATCACTGTACACACAGGAAAATGGGAATAATGGGAAATAATTCTATTCCCAAGGGTAGTGTACACTGACCATTTTGAATGCTGGGTGTTTGTTTATCCACAAGTACCTATATTCATTTCAGCTTCCTGAAGCATTTATGAACATAGGTCAGTCATATTTCAGCCACAATATGAGAGAAAAGACAGCCAGGAGATCTCATAGGTAGGTAGTGAGGAATAAATAATGAAAAAGCACTTTGCAAAATATGAAGTATGATCATAACGCTCAATAGCTTAAGACGCTTTACTTGACCATTAGCCTACTTTATCACAAGCTGCCTGGAAGGAAAGCAAATGCTTGACATCATCAGCGCAGCCTCCAGTTATGGATTAGGTCATAGAGAACAAAGTAAGTTGGCTTGGAGCTATTTTGTATGAAATGAAACCAGATCATTAAATTTTTCCAGAAGACATCCAGTTCTTGGGGGTCTCATGACCCCCATTTACTGTTCAAAAATAAACTTCATAATAAGGTAAAAGCTGATTTAATCCATTCATTTAATCTGGAAAAATACCACTAACGTATTGATTTTTTTTCTTCATAAAAAAAGACAACTTATTACCAGTTACTCACATCTAAGATAGTCTAATAAAGCCCAAGAACACAGAGTTAGAATTATAAATAAGGGTCTTTTTCTTGCAATTCATCTTGCAATACCAAAGTCAGAATCTAACACCATTTTGAAACACTGTTATATGACAGCTAACTGAGATTTAGTTAGGTAAACAAAACCCACACACACAAAAGAGATAAACAAGAAATAGTACAGGCCTGGAGTTTATAAAAACCAAACCTTGAAAGGCTGAAGTTACAATGTTAGTAAGATGATCATTCCCTCTTTAGGGACTTTATAGTTGAGATGAGAAACAAATATTTAGCGCCTCAGGAAAGGACAAACCTTCTGTAAAACACTGTAGAAGAACCTGTGACTAGCCTTCCTTCTGTGGTTCCACCCATCCTAACTCCTTGAAGGAAAACATCTCTGCTTAAGCAGCTACTCACTGTAAATTGCACCTTCACTGAAAGTGTCTCATAAAGCACCTGGGAGTATGCTGAAGTGGTGTAAACTTTACCCCTGAATCACACACATTGCATACAGTGTTGTATACCAATGTTAACTCAGTGAAAGATTAAAGTAAGATAAATAAATATGCTTTTGTACACTTGATTTGTATCAGAGAACAGGAAACCAAATCCATACTGCCCTCTGAGCCTTCAGAGGCAAGAGGTTAGAGCTAGTGGAAGGGGTGCTCACAGAATCCGTGTACGCATGTCTCCATATGCCAAGATTTAAGGACACTGACACTGATCCTTTAAAGAGCTGTGAAAGCATCCACATTAGTCACACAGTCTGCCGTGAATGTGATGACATCTCCAAACACATTCCCAATCATGCAAAATCATCACGTGTAACTATCACCACACAATGGAGGGTGGCGTATAAGGACATGCTGAGAACATGCTTATCACATGACAACAATGTGGGTTTTATGTGTCAAGCACATGTCACATGTTAATAACATCTGAGAACATGTCAAGATTTGCTAAGAACATGCATCTGGCATCTCGGGAACATGCCAAGAGTGGTGTCTGTCACAACTTGGCTGCAAGGTGTGCACCAAACCAGTGAGTCAACAACATGCCAGACATTCCAAGATATGCAGCTGACATGTCCAAGGCATACTACCAACATGTCAACGTGTTAAGAACATGTCAACAGCCAGTGTCAACAAGACTGCCAACATGCCAACAACATAGCAAACATGTAGCTTGTGCAGCAACATGCCACACACATCACTGCTGTGTTTATAACATGTTAAGAATGTGTCAAACGTGTGGACATGTTAAGAGGATGCAGAGCACACATACCTGGTGTCTTGGGGGCATGCCAAAAGCTGCATCTGGCCTAGGTGTGAGGCACACTCAAAGTCTCCAGACATGTCGAGAGACGTGGCTGACATGTCCAAGGTACAACAGACAACACAGACACAACACACCTAACATGCCAAGAACATTTAACAGACACAACAGGGACATGTGGTTGGTATGTATACCATGCCAGTGACGTGCTAAGACCATGTCAGTGTTGTATTGCAAACAGACCAATAACATGTTGAGAAACGCGTTTGCCACATTAAGAACATGCCAACGATATGCTAGAACTCATCGGTAACCTGAAGATAGAGGAATAAAATGATGAAGCAAGGATTGCAGGCAGCCTCTGGAAGTGGACAAAGGCAGGGAGGCAGACTGTCTGTGTCGTGCATCCACAAGCATTGGAACTCCTCTAGCATCTGCATTTTAATCCAATGATACCCGTGTCTGACGTTAGACTTCTGGAACTGTTAAGATAATAAATGTGTGTCATTTAAGCCATTAATTGTGTGGTGATTTGTACCAGAAACAATAGAAACTTAATACACTGAGCATGAAAGTTTTCAGATCCATGGATTACCTGGAAACCTGATCTGTAAATTAGGGAATCAATTAAATTCCTTAATAAGTAACAGCCACCAAACCATTGGATAATTCTTCTAATCTTTATTTCAAATAACAATGTAACAGGTAGATGGTATACAGATATTTACTATGCACTCAGAATTTGTCACAGGGCTACAAAGGGTCCCATCAGAGCCGTCTATCCGGAACACAGCTCCCTACACAGACACCCAGCCAGCTTCTCCCACTGACGTGTCCTGCCAAGGAGCTTCTTACCCTAAATATCTAATATGCTACATACTCCACCAACAATAGTAAATCTCCTAAATCTACTTGCACCCTAGTTCTTTCAAAACAAAACAACTTCTCCCTCCCTCTTACAAAAACCTTACTTTGATGCCTGAAATCAAGAAAGCCACCTCCTACTCTCCTCTAAATGTAACTCCAGCTTTATCCTCAATGCTGTGGCTCATGGGGTACAACAGGCAAGGTGAACAAATGTCTCATTGTGCCCGCAATGAGATCCTCCATGAGTGATTAATTCAATCACACCCCACCACCACCACCACCACCACCACAACTACCTCAGCAATCATTGGGTCCCATTCAGACCTCCTTGTAGATATACGGTGCTGTGACCAAAATTCCCATTTTGGAATCTGATTTTCCCTTCAGAGATCATGACCTAACTTTCCCATACTACAAAATTCCAGTTTACCTGTTTAAAGCCCTCTGGGTTAAAAGCATCAGCCAGCTCTTGCATTAATGCAGCCATACTAAGGACCGTGATCCCCAACACAAGGAATGGAGGACATACATGTTGGCAAAGGTGGAACCCAAAATTCAGTGCTTGCATGCACTGTGAGAAAGTCTCTTAGTACAATTATCCCTAGCAAAGGTGCAAAGTGTTACAATCACTGCCTCGAAGCAGGAAAGGGCTGGGTTCAACAATGGCACTCACTCAATGTCAGAATTACTAAATGCTCAAATCACATAGTCATCTAACAGTGTATGACCAGTCCTGGATCCAGAGGCAGGTCATCTCCAGGTACAAATATTTTCTTGATATTCTGTGAAGTCAGTAACAAGTAAGACTTTCAAAACTTCCAAGTCCTTTGAAACTTGTATTCCTTCCACATTGGAGAAATAAATCTGGAATCAGCTCTGTAATGCTGAATGCTGAGGACTGATCAAGGATTCAGAAAGTTTTGTTAATGTTCTTTCAAGGGACCATGAGAGGCCCTCTGAGCAGACCAAAATGACAGTGGGCCCCGTTGACCGAGAACAGCTTGCAGGCAGACAAACAGGAACCGTGGATCAATTTCTTAAGGATAAAGTCAACTCCATCCTGTTTAAGCTTGAGGGCACATAAGCCTCATTTGGCATTAAGGGAAAGAAAGAGTTTAGCAAACAGGTTGATGACTTGACCTGGCATTCATTCTCATCTACAGGATTTGTAAATTACCAGCTCCATTTGTAGTTTATTGTCAGGATCCCAGCAACTAATTTTTCACTGCCAGGACCCTCAGTAACTGTCTTACATTCACTGCCAGGAACTTTTCATAATTGCCAGAAACTCTTTCTCCCCACTGAATTACTGACTATGCTCAGCAGGTGAGTGACTGCATGGAAAGCCAGACATGAAGATAAAAACTAAAAATGCTATCATGTCCCCTTTACAAATTATCAGTATAACCAAATCGAATATACAACTGCAGCATATACCAAAATACACTATACCCCCACTAGTTTTTCAGCTTTATCACATATCAGAATTTCAAATCAAATTGCTCTATCACCCCAGATTTTCAGAATCTACAATTATGTGGTAGAACTCAAGAATTAACATTTTTAACACTTTGGTCCAGGTTTCTGCTATATCCGGTCAGAGAACCAGTTAAAATCCACTGCATTAAAACACAGAATTAAAACACAGAAGGTTCTATTCCAGGAGGAGAAATAATGCTTATTAGCTAGAAGTGTGGGGATGAACTGTGTATTATCAGAGTCATAACAGAGATTCCCGCTATGTGTTTCTATTTTAACTTTGGTCCTAGGTGCTGCTTCTCCATCTTTGGCTACAGTGCAGAGTTTTCGTCCCATGGAGGAACAGTAGCCAGTAAGACTGGCAAGCAGATCTGTGCAACCAGGAATGCGTACCTCTTATTTCTCTGGATAGGTGTTCTTTGGGCGACGAGACCTGAAGCACTGTTTTCTTCCCAACAGCTTTTTAAAGATATCATTGTGCATGTAAAAAAAGATGTACCCAGTGCACAACCTCGCTGCCTGCATAGGAGCCTCTTGGATACTTGATACCTGCAGATCATTGTATGTGAACCAGACTTGCCTCTCAAAGTCATAGGCATCACTGATATAATGGCCTGAATTTGGGGTCTTCCCAAGATGGCTGACAACACCAATGAGGCGATAGGCATGCTTGTCCCTCTCAGCCTTTTCACTTATCTTCTCAGCCGAATTGTTTCCTGTTCTCCCTATATCAAAAAAGTGTTTGCTCCTGGGGGTTGAACTGGAATCCGAGGCACCTAGGCAACTCCCATTGGCACCTTGGTAACTAAAGTCTGCAGGTCTTCTGAGGTTCTCTGTGCTGCACAGGGGTTCTGGCTTTGGACAGGTTTGCAGTAGAGCCTCTGGAAAGCCTTCTTCATAGAATCTCATCCTCTCTTGCTCGTGTTTCTGTTCAGCCACTTTTTTTATTTTGTCTTCATAAAATTCTTCATCAGTAGTCTTAGAAACATCCTCACAATTGAAATCTTCAAAATGCTCAGGTTTCACATTTTCAAGTAGTTCTTTGAGATAAAATTCTGCAAGACAGGCACCTGGGGTACTGGTGGATTCACTTTCACCATTCCCACTTATCACTGAACCAGCTGCCAGTAACCCTTTCTCTATGTTTGTTCCAGCTCCTCTGTCTACCAATGTGGGCTCTACTGTGTTTAGCTTAGAACATCTTTCCAGGTGTTCTTGCTGCTGTTCTCTGCTTGACTCTTCATGGGGAATCTGACCTTTCTGTTGCCAAGACTCTTTGGTTGCTCTAAAACGGGGAGCCAGTAAATCTTTGGATTTTGAAGCTAACTTCCTTGAAATTTTCGAAAAACGGGCAGCTTTAGAAGTCATCTTTCGAAAGACTTTTAAGACTTGCAAATCCCTAACACGTATATTCTTGCCCAAGGGAAGAGGTGGTATGGTATTTTTATTGCAATGAGAAGACAAATGTAGATATTTTGAAACAAAAACTTCCCGATCATCCTTCTTTAATGACCAAAACTCATTAAAGTGATAGCGTTTCAGATGAACAATGAGGACCCTGGGGAGCCTACTGAATTTGTGCAGAGCAATGGAACGCTTGTGCTCACACTTCTCACATGTATACTCAAGCTCTTCTGCTTTAAAAAAAAGATCAAAAGTAGACTGAATAGACAAGGGACGTCCTTTCGGTCCTTGGGGAATGTTGACCGAGATATAATTACTCTTGTCTGTCTTGAGAACAACATGACCACAGGTTTTGCAAATAATAGAGGACAGCAACTCCAACTCGAAATTAGTGATGACAGGGCATGAGAACACACTGGTGAAAGCACTGCCCGCAAATACCTCTTCAGGTGAATTCTCTTCTCCGGATTTACCTTCAGTCTTCACACTGTTGTTGAAAATTTCCACATTCTCTTTCATGTGATCTAAACAGTGACCTAGAAACTCATGAGCATCATTCTGTATGTTGTCAGCATAGATCTCTGCAACTGCTGAAAGGGCTGTTTTAATATTCACGAGCAACCTCTCCTTAATTTTGATGTTGTAAATATCTTTCAGAGCAAGCAGCTGTGCCAAGCACATGCTAAGAACATCAAGGGAAGACTTACCCCATGGGAAACCCCAACTGAGTAAATCATTCGCAAATGGTGGAATTGAAAATAGGGACTGCAAAACTGCATTCATATAACAACTGTTTCCCACATTGGGGAGGCCTTGCCACAGTTTCTCTGGGTAAAAATCTAAGGTAATCTCAAATCCTCCCCACCCAGGGTCATCTTCCTTATACGCTGGATCTGAAAGAAGTGCCAAATATATTTTCTCACTGAGAGCTTGGAGGAGACCGATGCCATCTAGGTAAGCGTTCCCAGTAGACTTGATCTTAAATGAAGGTTTAAATTCCAGTATCTTCTTTCTCCGTTCTTTTTTTATATTGTGGTTTCCATTCTTAAAGGGATTTCTCTTGGCTTTCTTAAGTCCTACAGATTCGCTCCCTCCCATGGAGGTCTGATTCATCTCTGTTTCAGATGATACCTTTCTCTTCTCACAATGAATTTGGAACCCTTTGCGGGTAAGTGTTGATGATATTGATGCAAACAAAGACATATCCCGAAAGTTAGGTATTTTGCTTCCTTCTTTTTTCTCCAAAGATTCACTACTTTCCTTCTTACATTCTTTGCTGGGTGAAGTTTTGTTGCTCTTCTGCTCTTTTGTTGTGCTGGTAGTGTCATTCTCATCACCAACAGGTACCTGGGATGGCTGAAGCCTCTTTTGATGGACTTTGTCCAAGAACTCCTTCAGTTCTTTGGCATCTGTGGAGGATAATCTTTCAACAAACAAGAAGTTATTATTTTTGAAAATTAAATGCAGGTGTTCTTGGTTGTCTCCATAAGATCGATGGAGCACATTTTTAATATTATTGCTTAGCTGAAAAGTTGTGCACCCTCCGCTTTTGAAGTAGATCACCAGTTTAAATTTCTTGCCACCCACTGTTTCAATGAATGCTTCTTTTGACTTAGACATCCCGGCATTCCTATTCCACATTTGGACAAAGCCATGTATCATTAGAGAAGCCATGCTTTCTTTACAAATAAAGTACACGTAGCCTGAATTAGTGGCAACCTGGAAGCTTCGATTTGTTTTGCAAGTTCACCACTAGAGACAACAAAGAAATCGTTCTTTAGTTCTCTATACAGAAGGATCTTGCTTCTATTGTTGGCTTTATACTAGAGGCTCTTTGGGTTCTGGAGATCTCACTTTTCAGTAAGAAAACCAAAACCTTTGAAGTACCGTCAGTGTTTGCAGGGGGCTAAGTCTTGTTCCCAAGGCAAGGTCACTATTGGAAAAAAAAATTAAAAAAAATATTATAAGCTACCAGAGAAATGTTTGGATAGGACTCAAATTCTATTCTTATATATCTATTAAGAATTATATATATGTATATCCCACAGTACCAGATTCTGTTCTGATAAATTTGTCTACTTCAACTGAAATCATTAAACATTTGCAAGACTTACAGTACATGACCATGACTGAAGAGCATATTGACCAGTGTGCTTTGAGGAAGGAGGGTGGGGGAGGGGGTAGAAGGGGTATTAGAACTGAAGATTTGGCGGAGAGTAGGGACAACACAAGTACATATGAAAGAGCAAAAAAGGGGCCCTCCCTAGTGGCGCAAGAGGTTAAAGCACAGCACTGCAAGCTGGCCACAGCTGCTTCAGTGGAGTTTGATCCCCTTGCCCGGAGGTGACCCACATGGTGGAGCAGACCTCTCCTGTCTCACCCACTGCTCCCCTCAGCAGTGTACTTTGTCGATCTGCCTGTCCTGCTCCCCTCTCTGTCTCTGGGGAGTCCTCTCACTGCCCCCACATCTCTGGTCTGCACCCCAGTTCTATATGCATAAATAAATCTTTTTTAAAAAAGCAAAAACGGGGCCCTCCCTGGTGGCACAGCGGGTTAAAGCACAGCACTAAGAAGCTTAACCCACTTCTGCATGAGTTCGATTCCCGCCTGCCCCGGAGGTGACCACATGGCGTGGCAGACCTCTCCTGACCCGCCCGCTGCTCCCCTCAGCAGTGTACTTCGTCCATCTGCCTGTTCTGCTCCCCACTCTGTCTGTGGTGAATCCTCTCACTGCCCCCATCTCTGGCCTGTACCCCAGTTCTGTATGCACAAATAAATTAATCTTAAAAAAAAAAAAACACCTAAACTCCAAGATAGATATAAAGGTAAAAAATATGCTATCCTTTTGTCACAAAATGGCCCCACAGGACAAACACAATAAATGAATGAGAAGGCCAAAAAAGAAAAAGAAGGAAAAGGAAAAAAAAAAAAGGAGGGTGCTATATGGGCCCTCAACCCAGTATCAGGTGAGTTAACTCCTGTTAACTCATAGCTGCAGAGTGTATAGCTGGCCGCCCAAAGTAAGTCATATTCCTTCTTCCAAATCCTCTTCTGTTCCTTTCTTTCATTTGGTACAAGGGGAAATTAAAAAATAATTAAAATATATCAGTTGTTCCAGACCTTACTCATCATTAAAGTAAACTTCAGAAAAAGTGATATTCCTCCTCCTGATCATTCCCACACCAGATCAAAACACTCAGGCAACTAATTCAAATGTTACCAAAGTCTAGGTGCTTTTCTCCCACTTTGCCCACAAACTCGGTCTAGTACCTTCGAAGGATCCCCTAAAAGTGTAACTGCTGATGTCAAAGGAGACAAAGTTATGCTACTCCTGGCGAGAGGTGGATATGATGTCCAGAAGCTTGCTGTCAGGTGCAGAAACTCCTGGCAGAAGCTCTGTTCCATGCAGAGAGTAGTGATTCCTGCAGCTCTACTCCACACTCGCCCTGTGGCCAGTGCTTTCAAGGACAGGGGCAGGGAGCTTCCACAGGACATAAACTCATGCGAGTCTGAATGTCACTGTGTTACCTCAGTGGTGGCACACCCTTGCTTCCAGTGGGGACAGGATCTGGGAACATGTTCTTTCATTGCCATTTTCTGGAGCTTCACACATACTCAAGTACTCAAGGTAGGGAACAATGTTTTGCAGAAGAAGGATCTCCTGAACTCCAGTTTCTCGGGCACTCCCTCAACTCTCCATAACACCTAGCTTATTTTTGTTTTGCTGAGCAAGTAAGAAACAGGCCCTTGGGAAGGACGCCTGAAGGCCTGAGAATGCAAAAATGCAAGCTATTAATTTTATGTTAAGATAATTTAATGAGGACTTGTGAAGCTTTTGGAGTATTTCTCCTCTGTGTGCTGTATTTATATCGCCCACTATTCATCCTTTCATTATTTCCAGAACAAGAAAAACTTGAGAACAAGTGTGGATATACCTTTCAAATGTGATTGTACCTTTCTCCTTCCCAAAACATTCATTACAAAAGGAGAAATTTTGGAACAAGTTCCAGGAGGCAGATAAATAAATCTAGAAAGAACTTTCAGCTCAATGACTGTGAGCAAAATAACATGGCTGTGTCAATCTCTTCCACTGACATCTGATTAAAATCATGATCACCCACATACACTCACGGATATATTTACTGTGCCTAATGGGTGGAGGTTAAGCTATACAAGATGGTTTGGCACAAGTGGCGAGTTTTTATTATTTTATTTTACAAGGTCTTTCATTTGAAAGCATGTGGAGGGAGAAAATAAATATATCTTACATATGGCAAGAAATTCTATTCAGCTGCCCAAACAAGCCTGGCCAGGTAGGCATGACAAAGGACACAGAGATAGCATGATAGGCCTTGTATGGCCTAAATGGAAAAGACAGGGCCAGATAATGACCAGACAAATGTCCACTACTTTCTAGGTTTCTCTGGTGATTCCAAGCAAGAGCTCTGAAGAACCCAACAACTTCAGTTCAAATATATTTTATTTTAAAATAGTTTAGGAGATGGGGTGGGGTGAGAGGATTCACCAGAGAGAGTGGGGAGCAGGACAGGAAGATTAAAATACACTGCTGGGGGGAGCAGTGTGGAGAAAGAGGTCTGTTGTGCCATGTGGGTCAGCTCCCTGGCTGGGAACTGAACTCATGCTACAGTGGCTGCCTAAAGCTTCATACCACTGAGATATAACCCCTGTGCCACCAGGGAGGGCCCATTTCACATTTATTTTAAATGAAACATAGCTTGGTAACCTTAAACAAGTCAATCCCACTACTAGGACCCATTAATTTCAGTGGAAAATGTTCATTAAACCTCTACCCTTCCTCTGAGGATTCTAGTCTATGAAACTATGACTCTAGGTAGAATACACTCTGCAAGCACATTGGACATTCCAAGACAGTGCAAATAAAATATATTTTCTCCATCAATTAAGTGACATGTATTGGACCAGGCTTGGAAACTATGGTCACCATATAGAACATTCCAGGCTATGAGTAGCTGAAAGGCTAGGTTTGGGGCTGCAAAGAAGGAATTCTCCAAACCCAAGGGCATTCATCTATCCATTTCTTAAAAAGGAGCATTCATCTATCCATTTCTTAAAAAGGAGGTGTACCAGCAAACATTATGTTAAGTTGTAGATATACAAGAATGAAAAGTGGGCCCTCCCTGGTGGTACAGCAGGTTAAAGCCCAGCACTACAAAGCTAGCCACAGCCACTTCAGCTGGAGTTAGATCCCCACTTCAGAACGAGTTAGATCCCCACTTCAGCACGAGTTCGATCCCCAACTTGGGAGTTGACCCACATGGCGCAGCAGACCTCTCAAATCTCGCCCACTGCTCCCCTCAGCAGTGTACTTTGGCCAATCTCCCTGTTCTGTTCCCCACTCTGTCTCTGGTGAGTCCTCTCACCCCCTGCACCTCCGGCCTGTAGTCAAGTTCTGGATGTATAAATAAATGTTTAAAAAAAGAAGGATGGAAAGTAGCCATGATCTTATAAAACTTTCATTCTAGCTGAGAGAATGTACACATAAAATACACAGAATATCAAATGGCAGTAACTGCTAAGGAAAACACATGTAGTGGACCAGGGTGTCAGGGTGTTGGAGAGGGTGGCTCCCCTGGTTTGGGAAGGCCTGAGTGATAAGGATGACATTATACAGCAAGGTCTTGAAAAAAGCGAGGGAACAAACAGAAAGATGCAGGATGCGCTTTGTAGGAAGAAAAATAAATCCAAATATCCTCAGGTGGGACTGTGCTTAGCATGATAAAACCAGCAACTGGCCCTGTGTGGCTGCAGCACAAGGTGTGAAAGTTTTGTAAAAGAGCAGGAGAGTGAACAGCCTGGAAAGCTTGCGGAGCAGCACAAAGGGCTGACTCAAGGCTACTGGTCATGAATTTACAGTGAGACCAATCAGCATATTAGCGCTTTTTCTCCGGCTATTTTCAACTGCCCGGCTGCCATGGTCCAGACGTGTAACGGGCAGGGCCTTGAATTTAACTTGCTCATGATTTTGCCCTTCATAAATAACCAAGTAAGAGGAGAGAGGGAGCCAAAGGTGTACAGCAAGGAATGGTTATAAATACGAACTAGAAAGGGTGAAATAGGGCAGAGGACAGAAACATGTGAAGGCCTAAATCTCATGAAATATTAGGGGGTGGGGCAGAAACATCAGGGGAGCAGGAGTTCAGCTCTCATTTCAGTAGCTATAATTCTCCCTCCTGCTTCTAAGCAGCTGTCAACTACTTGCAGACTTCCTTCTCCTATTCCCCTCCCACCTTCCTTTCTGCTCTTCTTTTCATTCTCACCCTGGCCCCAAAGCTGGAATTAACTAAATGGGAAGGGGGTGGAGAGTAGAGAGTTAGGGGTATGTGCAGGGTTAGAGGCAGGCCTGCTCAGACAGCGGAGGGAGACCGTCCCCTCTTTTTTCACCCTCCTAAGTCTGGGTTAAAGGTCAACACATCAAGAAGCACAGTGCCTCTAGAGCATTAGCAATTAAATCCTGTCATTATGTCCAGTCCCAGCTTCAGTGCACATGGCTTTTCAAAATGATTGGATCAGGGCAGACTCTGCTTCTTTCTCCGGCTTAAAGGTGCATTTCTGCACTCAGCAAATGTTCAAATCATTGTATAGCAGGGAAATGCCATTATTTTACCTCTTGACATACACTGCACATAAATCTC